CGGTGCATGCTGCGAAAGGGGTCTTGGTGGTGGTGGGGGTCCTGGGGGGGCAGTGTCCGGAGGGGTGGCGTGTTCCCTTCCTCTGGAGCTGGGAGGGGATAAGAAGGGGGTGCCCCTCCCCGCCCAGGGTCTGCGTGGGGCTGGCGAGGTCCCGTCCCAGGGCTGGGTCCCTGGGGTGGATGGGGGTCCCACAGGCCCTAGGCTTGGGGGGGGCGGTGGCTATGGGGCAGGCAGCAGGCCGTGGCCTGTGAGGGGGCTCCTGCTGCAGCGGTGTGGGGTCACGGCACCTGAGACAGGGACCTTGTGGCCCAGGGGGTGTCTGTTGGGGTCTGGCATGGGGTGGGGAGCATGGGAAGCTCGCCGGGGGTCTCTCCTTCTCTGTGGTTTGGGAGACATTGTGGGAAGCCAGGACTGGTGATGCCTGAGCCAGAGAAATATGAAAACCCATGGTAATTCAGAGAGCTGGGGAGAGCACGTAGAGTAGCTCAGGAAGTTTGTGGTGGCTTCTGGCTGGCTGGTCCGGTCAGGGATATCCCTGTGAAGTGCGAGGGTACGAGGACCTTTTGCAGTCATCTGTTGTTTTTATACCAGAACACTCTGCTAAAGCGAAAGGCATCACCTCTTTTTTATGTGTGAGGAAACTGAGGCACAGGCTGGCGAAAGCGTTTGCCCAAGGTCAGACATGGAGCAAGTGCTGAGGAGCACCCAGGCCTCTGGAGAATGCTGCTGCCACTTTCAAACAATGCTCTTGACCTCCGGGTTGCTTTTTTCCATTTATTTGTTTGTTGTGAGCTGCCTGGACCCGCTGTCCAGGCCTGCTGCATCTGGGTGGACCAGTGGCTGAAGCTGGTTTCTCCGAGAGCATTGGGGAAGGGCTGAGGGTCCCTGTATGGGCTTCCTTGGTGAATGTCTGTGTGGCACCGGAGCCCCTCATCTTGGGCAGGACCCTCATGCTCCAGGGGCTGTAGAGACTCTCCTCAGGCTGCCAACAAGCCCCAGGGTGGTGGTGAAGCCAGGTTTGGCAGGGGCAGGGACAGCATTCGGCAAGAGCTGGGAGCTGTGCAGGGGCAGGCGTGGGGTGAGTGTGGTAGCTGTGGCAGAGCAAAGCCAGTGGCCGTGAGGTGAGAGGTGGGGATCTCTGGAAGGGTGAGAGCTTCCCTTCCCCATCGTGGGGTGCCTCCCTGGTGTGGAGGATGACCCTGCGGTTGGCAGGTCTTTTTGTAGGACTAGAAAGTTTTTCCTGAGAGTAAAGAGGTGAGAAGGGGAACTGGGCAGCCCCTTGCAGGGGGGAAGGTCTCTAATGAGACCACTCAGTCAATGGATTAATTCCCAGCCCAGGCTTCCTCCTGGGACATTGAGAACGGCCATGAGCACCCTCACGTGCTGCCTTATGCCCACCACCAAAACAGAGCCAGGGAATAAATGTGGCAAGGAGAGGGGACACGGAGCTGCCCATGATCCAGAAGCACTGGGAGCCTGAGAGCAGGCTGATCTGGCAGGCAGGAGTGCCTGACTGCCCCTTCCCCATGACCTTGATGAAATTGCTTCACCTGTCCCGGCTTCTCCTTCCCTCTCTGCACCATCCCGCACTGCTTGTCTGCTTTTCCTCTTCTCTTGCCTTGCACAGCCTTGGTCCTCGCCTGGTTTCCCCAGGTTTCTTCCCAAAACTGAGCTGGGCAGCTGATAGGTTTGGCTGGGGATGGTTTGTCACCAGCAGCCCTGACTCCAGGGACTGGGAATGGACAGACCTCTTCAGAGAAGGCAAGAACCATCCTGGACTTTATGGACAGCCCAAACCCATTAGCAAGTTGGGAAAAGTCCAATTAACCTTTATTTCTTACAAAATGGCAACGCTCTTGGTTTCTATGCTCTCCTGCAGCTTCTGATTTTGGCCAGACCTGGAGGAGCCGCCATTCCCCTGGGGCATTTCTGGTAAAGCTGGAGGAACCCTCCCAGGGGAGTCTGACCTTGCAGGCATGGAATGATTTGGGGAACCTTGGGATCTCTAAATTGCCAGAGTAAATGGCTCCTTCCCACTAATGGACACAGCTCTAACCAGGCTTGTCCCCACCACGAATGGGCTGTGACTCGCTGTATAGAGCAAAAGTGAGACTCGAGTCCTGTTAATGCCGTGGAGTGTCTGGAGTTGGGCGAGCTCGCCTTCCCCTCCAGACCAGTACCTTTGGCTGGAGCACCAGCAGCGCTTGCTGGCTGCGCTGCAGTCCCGTGCCCTGGGCTGGCAGCTGCCTGTCCTGCCCAGGTGTTCCCACAAGGGCTGCTCTGATGTCTGCTGGTGGCAGCCCCTTTCTCTGTCCTGCTCGGTTCTTCAAAGCCTGCTGTTTTCCTTTTCTTCCCTTCGTAGGGGAGGGAAGAGCTTCCCCTGCTTGGCAGGCTCCATCCCCACTGGTTCCCTGGTATGAGCTGAGTGGAGGCCGAGGGAGGATCTTTGCCCTTCACCGGAGCGGGTTGTAAACCCATCTCACACCAGCAGCACCGACTGCTCGCTGCCCTGTAATGGGCTTCAGCCACATCGGAGCCACCGGCCCAACCCTTCTTGAGAAGGCCAAGCCACTTGGATCATGTTGCTTCTCTTGCAAGCCCGATGTCAGGGTCCTGCGGGCTCCTTTTATTGACCAAGCAGATACTTTATGGCATGCAGACCAGCAGAGGTTGGATCAGTCTCCATCCACCCAGGTCAACACTGAGTTTCCTACCTCCAGTAAGCCAAATTATCTTGTTCCACTGGGATCAAACACCACCATCCCTGTCCAGACTGATAGATGGGAATTTCCGATCAGTACCAAGCCCTTCGCTGACAGCATCCCTGCTGCAGACAGTGCAAGTCTGTCTGCACACAAAAGTGGGAGCCCGAGGGACCGGAGCGATCCTGCCTCCATCGTGGTGACGGCTCCTGTGCAAGCTCAGGGGCTTCCTGGAGCTCTTGGTCTGCAGTGGAGCTGGCACCAGGAAAATGCAAACCGCAAAGTGTCCTTGTGGGTGGAGAAGAGGATCTGTCACTTGGGAGAAGCGGTTTAGCCCAGTCATGTCTCTTCTCCCACTTCACCTCCTATCTTCCTCTTTCCAGGCAGAAGGCAGCACCTCTCTGGGGCCCGTGTGTTGGTGTCCTCCATCTGCTGCGGCCACCAAAGAAGCTTCGTACGAAACATCTTCCAGCTTCGCTGAGATTCCTTGATTTTTATTTTTCCCCCCAAAGAGCATGTTTTTAGGGGGCTGTCTCCAGCCATTTGAATGGTGAGGTTTAAGGGGCTGCTGCTGCAACTGGCAATCAAACGTCCGGATTCCTCTGGTGACTTTGGAACGTTTTGGCACCGGTTTTGCCTGCTGAGCGCCTGTATGTGGCAGACACCAGAGTCAGTCAACCAGAGGGGAAATCCCACAGGACACCAGATGCTGTTAGCTCTGCTCCTTGCAGCGGCAGAGCTTGGACCTCCGCTGGGGATAGGGTGCAGGTAGATACCTGACCCACGGCTCCTTGGGACTGTGGGGTTGGCAGTGTCACACCAGGGGAGGCAGGACGGGAGAAGTGACCTCTGGCTGGTGCCTGGACGGGAAGCCTTACCGAAAGTCCCACGCACGAGTCTTAAATGCAGGAGAGCAAAGTGTCCAGAGTTGTTCCCTGCCTGGTTGGGGTGGAGGGATCGCTCTGCTCTGGTGCAGTAATTAGAAGCCATTGAATTCGTTAGCTGACAGCTCTGGAAAGGCTGGTGGTGCTTCTAACGACTTCACTACTGGGGAAGGCAGCCAGGCATGCTTGTGAGCTGGGAACTGGGCTCCTTCCAGGGGGACAAGCAG